AAACACGTGATTGTGATGTCCAGTCATCCACAGAGCACCGCGAGTCTGATGATGCTGCTGTGCTCTCCGACGGGACACTTAAACATTGGCACTTAAAGGCTGTTTTTTAGTTGAATATGAAACATGCATCACTTCAAACATTCCCAGGGAAGTGGGATCATACTGTATGTTGTAACAGGATGCCTGCTTGGTGCTAGTGTACACAGCGTAATACAGGGAAATATGTGCGGTTCTAAACACAGTGCTAATTGGACCACATCTAGACCATCTTTGCCCTGCAGTTACACATTATTCAGCAATGTCCTGGCCCCGTTCCTCCACTGCACAAGACCTATAAAAAAAAAAAATTAAAAAAAAGAAGCTAGATGACGTAGGTGTTAGTGGTTTATGGTTTTGTGCATATCTCTGCCTGTGAGTGCATGCATTCTTTCTGTGTGTTTCGGGGAGAGGAGGGGGGAGGGGGGCATGAGTCCAGATGTGCAGTTTACCTCACCAGAATCCCTAATATCTCTCTCCCCCTCCATCTCCTCATCCTGCCTTTTTGTGTTTGTGCAAAATAAAATCTATTTCTGGCAGCGCTGGCTCAACATGAGGGCACATCTGAGCAACACTCCCAGGGCTCTTTACAACACGTCCAAGAGCGGGGGGGGGGGGGGGGGGGGGGGGGGGGGGGGGGGGGGGGGGGGGGGCTGTAGTCACCTCTGCCGTCAGCACTGCTTGATGGGATCTTCCAACCACACATCATCAGTTACAATAAATGGACTGCCAGTTGGCTTCACCTTCCCAACAGTGAACTGTTTGAGTCCAGACTCACTCAGTACTCTCCAGAGTTACTGACCAGTGGGTTACTATATTAAAATCAGCACTAAGAGCCAGATCATTTCATGATTACACTGAACAACGTGGCTCCACAAAAGAACCAACATCCACAGTTTGACAGCAGACTAGAATAAAAATAAATACTACAGACATAGCTGCGTTCATCCAGTTCATTTCACATCTGCGACTCTGTTAACACAACTCCAGAGAGGACTTTTCCCACATTTATTTTTATATTTTTGAGATGACAGGACATCCCAGCATGTGCTCATCATGAAAGGTCATCTAGTTTGAATGGTTTCAAAATACATCTTGACCTCACTGTGAACTTGGGACGTGTCTGATTTTAAGCCAGCGTGGACGAGAAGTCCTTCAGGCGCTCAGAAAAATGGAATCTTGAACGTTTACAAATCCGTGAAAACTTGGCATCCTCCGTGAGCTTTGGAAGATGGTTTGATATGAGCGAAAGCTCCAGAATCCAGCTACTAAATGGACCGTGTGGTAAGACTGTTTTTGTCAACTACTGTCGCCAAAGCTCAAGAATGGACTTTCGGACTCAACTTTGAAGCCAAGATGGTGAGAAAAATCCTCCAAGAGCTCAGAAATACGTCCCACAGCACCTACTAAATGGCGCTTGCTGGGAGACGGTTCAAGCAATTATGTTTGATTTTATCAAAGCCAAAAAAAGAAAAAATGCTACACTGTCTGGGAAATGGAAAGACTTGTGTTTGACAATTTTCACACTTGCAAACAGTTCACTTCTGATCTGAAATCAGTTGCATAGGGCAGACACCTCCGTGTCAACTGCAACCGGGGACCAAAAGTGTGTCGTGGTGTCGGCAATTCTGACATTTAAAAGTCTTGTAGGAGTCTGCATTGTGTTTAAGTGCTGGTCTGTTTTCAGTCATTCAAAACTTGCTTTCAAAGACTATGCCCTCCTTGTTGCTTCCAAATACAACCCAGTGAAAACCTAATCCTAATCGAAACTACACAGCAGGAGCCTTTTATCAGGTGAATCCCAGCTGTTTTTGGTGACTGTTTAAAAAACGAAATCTGCTGAAAAATGGTGTCTACAGAGACAGCTTTTTCACTCCGCTCCCCTCTTGGCTTTACAGAATTATTCCACCTCTTCCTCCTTTCACGGTCTTTTGGAAATTTAAATAAGGGCACCGCACTGTTGGTATTCTGGCATCCAGGAGAGATAGCGAACAGTGAATGATACTTAGAATCTCAGCAGCAGTAACCCAACTCCATCGAGCGCTGATGCTAGTGAGTTCCATATTTTTATACTGTTAAGTTGAGGGTGATGGTAAGTGGGGGTCCAGTCTCCCATTTTGGGTCCAACCAAAAAATCCTGAACACTGAAATACAGTTTAACGATCTAACAATTCAGATCCACATAGTTCCGTCTTTTCACGTTTTCATGAGTAGTTTTCTATCATATATAAGGTAGGTGGTAAGGTACATTATAAAATGTCCTTCTGACCTAAAAATCAACCCTTGAAACAGTGAAATCACAAGGCAGCTCTTGTTATTCTGCAGCAGCTGAGAAACAGCTGCAAGGAAAGATCTGATTTTAATTCAGCGGGAGCACCATCATCATCCGGTAATAAAGTTGTATTTCTTGTAGCTCGTCCATCTTACTGGAATGTCTGGATTCACAAAAATGAGCTTTTTTTTTTTTTTTTTTTTTTTCCCTCAACATTTTTCTCCTGCTAAGTTAATATATGGTTGATGTTGTAATCAGTCTGCACCTGAGTGGGGCAGTAACTCACGGTGGTCTCTGGCTGTGAGCGAAGGAATTCACCAAACATGGGTCTGAGGAGAGCTGACGCACACCTCAGACCCGAGCGCTGTGGTTGGGAACGCTCGCTGGCATGCGCGCTCACACGTCCACACAAAAACAAACTGCATCCTGTCTTGCACCAGATGGTTGACACATACAGTACGCACAAGTGGAACGATTTACTCATCTATGTAATATGTGTTTTCATATAAAGATACGGAAACCTCAGCAGGTGTTCAGTCCGTATCTGCTTCGTATTCCTTCAATGGCCGCATGTTTCATCCGTCTGTATTTTCAGGCCCATTGTTGGTCTTGAAAGCCATTGTCCCACACAGCTTTCACAGCTTTTTTTTTTTTTTTTGTTGTTGTTGTTTTCTTTCTCCACTTTTCTCAGTGGTGCAGTAAAGACATGCCAACAAATGTTTTACACCTCAGCTCATCAGCGTTTATGAGAGCAATCAGCACCTCTAATGCAGGCACAAAAGCCTCTGGGGAGACTCCTGTTGGCAAGCAGAGGAGAAAGAAGACATAATGGAGGGACATGCTCTGCGGTTTCTACCTCCTTCTGGCTTCTATTAAAACATAACATGGACCAGAAAGGACAGAAATACATTATGTTGTGTGTTTGCACTAAGTGAAAACTAAGTCAACCAGGCCAAGTTCAAAAACAACACATTTTTATTTCTGCCTATGAAGGTCCCAGGCAGTAATGTTAACTCTGCAGTCATACCCAAGTGTACTCACAATTTCATAGAAGCAATTTGAAGTTGAGAGACACGACGACAGTGGTTCCCAACCTGCGGACCGGGGCCCGCTGGTCGGCCCACAGATCATTTACGAAACAGAACAGTTTTGGTAACAAAGATGTAAAAGATATAAAAGATGTAACTGTGGCAATTAGCAGGTGAAAAGCCACAAGCTAATTGCTTTGAGTCAACAGGTTGTAAAATAGGCGACTGTTAGCTAACATGTCAGCCATAACAATTTACAAGGTGATAATATGTCAGTGTTGTATTTACAACAGCTTGTTGTGCTGCCCTCTTATTTTTCTTTTCTTCTTTTAGTTGTTGTTTTCTTGCTATGGTTGCTATGCTATGATTTCTTGTCAATGGCTGGACCACATCATATACTTGTTTACTATCTAAGTCTGATTGCACATTAAAAGATCACCTCCATGGCAAAAAGTGGAGAATCAAAATGGACAGCTGGTCAGCAGTCCAGCAGTCAGAGTCAAGAGACAGATGGTGAATTGACAAGTGATGTCTCCCCACTGTTAAACAAAAAAATAATAATTGCGCTTCCCCTGCTTTTAGTTCAGTCCTGAACATCCGATCGTTATCATTAAAATAAAAATTGCTCTAAGATCGTATTATTTGGCCTCTGTACTGTCGAGGGGTCGGATGAGGGCCACCAAGATTTTCAAAACCTCTGGAAAACCTCTGCACTAGAACTAATGATGATATAATAAAGTGAACGTCTATGTCGTGTGGAGCAGGTAGTGTGGAAGGCGAAGTTTGTGGTAAATTCTTGCACCCTGCATCCAAAGGTGTTCATTTCAGAAACCAAAGAACTCCGGTGAAGAGCAGACCAACAACAATACCCAGAAAGCTTGGCCCATACAGCTGCACATCTTAAACAGATGTCTTCATGTAGAAAGCATCTAGTGCAAAAGCATCTGCAGAGGATAAGACGTTCTTGCTTGATTACTGCAGCTTTTATGAAAGAAAAACAAGACGTTCTGTGAAATATTTTCTCTGTGAGCATAGAAAAGTGCAGGGGATGTTTGCTTTGGTTTGTCGAGCACCCAAAACCATTTAAACACACAACATGCAAAAAGGAGAGCGAGCAAACCATATCCAAGTCTAACACAGCTTCTAATGCCAATACCATATAAGGCAATGGAGCAAGCATGTTTTTTATTGCCCTTGCAAAATCACTTCATACTCAGACTACATCCCTCTTTGCTCAGTGTTATTATAAAGAACAAAAGACGTCATGATGATAAAGCAGATTCAAGGACACAGAAGTTAATTTACCGTTCTTATCTGTTTTGTTTTTTGTTTTTTTTTTGTTTGTTTTCAGCCGAAAGATCTGAATTTCAATATCGCTCTTTACAACTTCAGCAGAACAGAGCAAACAACTGCCAGAAAATTGTCATATCAAGTAAAGTCAAGTTTATTTATAAAGCGCCAAATCACAAGTTTGTCTCAGGGGGCCTCCAGATAATGGGTCATTATCTGCAATAATAACGGCCTTGTTAGTGTAGCTGATAGAGGCTGTTACCTTCCAACCCTGTTTGCAATAATTCTCCACCAGCAAGGACCCAATAATGTCTGCTGAGCACGTACAGCATGGAAGCAATTACTAAAAAAAAAATAAATAAAGCGTTACTTACCAGCTCATAGTTTGTTGCTGGGACACAAGACGAAGACACCTGAAAACAGAGAAGAGAACTGGTTAGTTGTATTGCTGATTATTTGTAGTTGAGTTAATATAAGAACATTAACAGCAATGTAACACTGCAATAAATGCATTTAGATACTACATCATCGATGCACATGCTTGAACATACCAATGCTGTTTTTCATATCAAATGTACAACCAGAAAAGTCCACACTTCATTAGACAGTAGCTGCACTGAACAATGTTTTATACAAACTATGAGTCATTTTGCTTCGTGTAATGTGGAAGGTGTCGTTCATAGTGACAAACCCACAGAGAATCACCGACCAACTCTGCACGTCCCCTCAGTTCTACAGAGCGATTTAGCATCTTTCAGCTCATTGTTTTGATTTTACAGCTCACATCTTTACTGTTGTGGTTCACTCTCACTAAATGACAGTGAACACGGTTGAACATTTAACAGCCAAATAGCCAGAAACTACTTGCTTTGAGTCAACTGGTTGTGAAAATATGCGACTGTTAGCTAACATGTTAGCCATTCAAAATTGCGCACTACTCACTGCATAGTCTATGTAGCGGCAATCCTCTTTCTTACCAGCAATGCAGACAAACACCACTGTTTCACTCTGTCAACTGACAATATATCAATAGATCTATTATTGCAGCTGTAAATAGACTCTTTATAGTGTTCTTAGTGAACAGCTGCAGCATTTTCATCAGAAAAGACACATATGAAGCACTGGCACTGGTTATTCAACCCCAATGCAATACTGACACCAGAATTCAGCAATACTATTAAGTTTAAAAGATGAAGTAATAGCGGAGTATTAGCACTGCAATAAACAGACTGAAAAGCTGAATGTTTATCTCTCCAACAAGATCTCTAACGTCTTGTTTGATTCGACTGAAGTAGCAGCTGCGGTCAGTCAGTCAGTCAGTGGTGGGATTGCTCCAGCAGAACTCATGATTTGTCAAGTGCCTGCGCTAATCCGATAACCATCCAACAGTTTCCATAATCATTTCATGAGTTTGCAGCAAGAACATGAGGACAGAGGCCGATAAACAGGAAGAGTATAATGATAATGGCCGCCAACAGAAGATTCAAATGAAGTGCTCACAGAAAAAAAGATGGCCACTTGATGAGGATAAATACAAACAGGATGTCACCACTGATGTTTCCTTCCTGAGCATGTCTGTTGTCTGTCCCTCTGAGCCTGTTTGGTCATCATTTCTCTGTCGGTGCACACGGAAAAAAAAAAATCCTACAAACTTAATTTTCTCCAGTTTGCCTTCTACACCATCATCTCATTTGTAGATTATGACAGCTTGGGGCAGCTTTATGATTCCAGTCGGATTTTAACTGCTTTGTATCCTTCATCCTTGCTTTATTTTATTACTACACCAGGACTGTGTCTCTTTCAGCTTCGAGAGATTAGGCTCAGGGGGTTATCATGACTGTTGACCTCTGAAAGCACCTTTCATCTTTGCTGCTGCCCGACCACTCACCTTATCCACTGCTAATTGTGTCATTGCAAGAACACAAGCCTCCTGCTCTGTTTGGGGTCTGCTTTGTGTTACTGTTGAAGGCAGCGCATTCCACGTCTGCCCACAAAACATCAAGTAAAAATCTTGAAAAACCTAATGGGCTGAAATCGGACAGAGAGTCAGAGACGAGTTATTTATATGGATCAGCTGAAGTCTGCACTTAAAAATTTGTAATACAAATTGCTGAGATGGGAAAAGCGTGAGATGCACAACTGCAAAAACTACAATGTGCAAACACAAAATTATATCAAATCCTTGCTGATATCAAAATGTTTTGATATCAGCAAGTTTTAAAAAGATATAACGCCCAGTTTTGCAAATAAAACTTCCTAAAAGTGTATAACTGTTTCCTACAAAACAGAATTTTTGCAGTAGCATCTTGCTAACTATCCCCCGTTAGTGGATGATAAGCAAACCAAAAAGCACCACTGGATGACTGCCACCGCAGTGTGAGAACGGCTGATTAGATTGACAACGTTGAGGATGTGTGAGTCATTAAAGTCTCATAGTCTCTTTTTATAACTGTTACCTCATTTGAAATACAGGAATGTTGACTCTAAACAGGAAATGACCCTTATAAGATTAGATGTTTTAGTCCCTATATCAGTAGAAGCAGCTGATGCACTGATATGAAAAGACGCAATGCCTAAAATTAAAGACATTCTCCAAGCCAGTGGCTGTTAGTGGACCCATTAACCCCTCCCCTCACATGCTTGTGAGATGCTAAATACAAATCCCACAAGGGTGGAGACTGGTTGGTGATTCATCTTGGAAATAACTAACTCCCATTAGTGGCAAAGGTGAGGTCAAAGAAAGAATCTTTTTACATTTCGTGGGAACAAAATGTTCCTCGGTGACTGTGGTCCGTCACAGTTGCCCCACGTATCAGCAGCCAATACTCGAATGATGGCATCCCAGTGGAATGTGTCTCTGTTTTCCAGAATTTACGTCTGGCACAGTGGAGTGTGTCTTGAGTTGACAGGATACAGTATCTCAGTCTGGCTCAGATCTCCTGTATGACAAGCTATTCTGACCCCCCCCCCGCCCCAACCCCCCCCCCCACCCCCCACCACCACCATCAACGTCGCTCATTAACAACGGCAGGTCGCTTTTCTCTCAGGGGCCCTGCTCCCTCGGGGGACCTGACGCTGCCTCCTAAGAGCTAGTCCACCTGTAATCAGCAATCACCGAGTACGTTTACATCCACATTATATGCAATATTCAAATTATGGCAACGGTTATTAGTTTACATGTCTGTGCAGATAAATATTCTGGTTTAAAAAAATCTGAAAATGGTCATCCTATCCAAGCCATGCAAACTAACATTGCATGTTTAGGCCATTTTACTCTCTGCTTCTTGCACTTGAAGCTCCTTCACACCACATGGTCCGCCCACGCAGGTGTTTTCACTTATTCTGCCTGATCACACCACCTCTCAGGACTCTGTGGGCATGTACAAACAGTGATTGATTGACACTTCCCTCACTCTGCTGTTAGTCTTGGTGTGTCTGTGGGGGCGGGACAACTTAATCATTCTTGTTAGTACCTGCGGTTTGATGACCTCATGTCATTCCCATCAGCTTCGGTACAGGAGGCCTTGATATGATCCAGTCAACATTAGACATAAATGATGAAGTTAGTCTCTCCTGAAACCTTTCCTCAAACCAGTCTCCTGAACAGGTGCAGGCTTAAAACTGCACAGCCATAGGGTGGAATAAAAACAATTTAAAAAATAGCTCAATAGCTTTGATCGAGGTGTCATTGATGAAGTTATTGGATCTTCTGTATTTCTAAAGGAGCTGCTCAGGGACCAAGATTACAAAGGGCTGCTGGTCACATCAAGGTCAAGGTTTGTGAGCCACACACTCTGAAACTGAAATCTGAGACTGAAATCAAATGCTGTAACTCATTAACTCCTTTTAAATCTCTTCTTAAAACATATCTCTTTGTCTCAGCGTATGGTAATGTTTGATATGTTTTACTTTGTTTAATTACTAATCATTGTTCTTACATGTTTTACTGCCTCTCTTCACTCGTTTCAGAACCTTTTGCATAATGTTTGATAAATGTTTTTGTTCATGCTGCTGTACTCTTTTTACTATGTTCATTTTTATCTGGTTTCATCTGCGAAGCACTTTGCAACTTTGTTAAGAAAAGTGCTGTATAGATAAAGTTATTGTGATCACGCGTGACTGTTCTGTGCAGCACGGAGCTGAAAAAGTACACGTTCAGTCAACTTCCCCTGGAAGATGTGAAACGTTGTCGGAGGGATGTGCACATGAAGCACCTGATCCCACGTTCATCTTAATAAGAACACAGTGCTGGTGCAGCGGGACGACCAAGACAGTCCAACAAAACATTTGTCCTTGATCTATTTTTGCCACAGCAGACTGCATCATTAACAACGACACACTCCACTGGCCAGTTAAAAAAACATGCAGCCTTGGTGAGTCTTGGCGTTTGCTTCAAACTGGATTTCTGGGTTCATCATCCATCTTCTAGTTGTGACTTGTCTGTTCACAGTGACCCCTGCTTTGACCATCATAAAACAGTTATTAGGTCTGATGCATTGTGAGGAATAAAAGGAAATTTAATCTTTAAATGCATCTTTTTGGGGACGCTGTGTCAGCAGATGAGAGGGCAAAACACAACACAAAGAGCTGCTTCATGAATAAGTATCCAAACATCAAAAAGACTATGGCATCTGACATTTAGCTGAATGTCATGTTTAATAAAAGTCATACTTTTTATTTGCAAGTTAATTCATGTCAGAGACGACATCAATGACAAGATAGCCAATGTCGCCAGTGTAATAAAACCTCTGATGTAAAGGTCAGGTTGAGAGGGTCAGGTAGGTCTGCCCACGGCAGAATAGCTCACATTCTCCCTCATGCTAAGTGGCTGCTGATGCTGGAGTGGAACTTTGCACCATTGCAGTCTGGTAAAGCAGTCGCAGCCAGGATCTCCCAGAAACCACAGGGAATATTTATCTAAAGGCAGGCTGCAGGTGAGCACTTAGCAGTGGGCTAACCACAGGTCAAGCAGCGGGAAACCGCTATGTCAAAAATCCTCTGGTCAAAAAAGAGGGGTGATCTGGAAAGTCTGCATGAAAATATGTAATAAGGTGCAAACAGACTTTTGAGTAGAAGCGTGTGAGTTAATTACTTTTAGCCATACATGCAGCGCCACTCGAGGGATGGCAATGTTTGTCAGTTGCTCAACCACTTTGGTCCACAATGAAATATCTCAACAACTGTTGGATGGATTGCCATTAAATTTGGTGCTGACATTCATAGTTCCCAGATGATGAATCATTCTGACTTCAGTGATCCCGATTTTTCCTTGAGCAACATGATGAAGTATCTGTGATATCTGTGGTTTCAGTGAAATGTCTCCACAACTAAGTCTATCTTAAAGCTCCATATTTTACACTATTATTTGAAGCGTGGATCCATAAGAAGATATATTTGGGGTTTTAAGAAACAA